CTGTTCTATGAGTTAGCGATGCCCAGACGAAATCTAATACATATCCATTCCCATTATAAAAGATATTTTAATGATGTAATTATATATATATAAATCTTTACATCCAATCCAGATTATGTTAAATCTAAATAAAATCATTTGATTATTCACTTTCAGGCGGATCAAAGAATCATATTCGGGCAAATGCAATTTGTTATGATCTACTTATATATAAGCAGTAGTGCCTATTTCAGGTCTACATGTGCTATTAGCTACATTACTTACAACATTTTCAATACTATAGTCACTGTACATGGCAATGCCAGACATAAATGTGTAAAAAACCTAACATATTAGAGCAAGTAATTACATTTATTTACACAACAATGAGACGAACTGGAAGAAAATCCCTTTATTTCAGCAAAATATTGGCACTTCACATTAAAGGTTATCCCGTAACGTCTGGCAAGCGGCACTTTTATATGGTTTTATGGCTGTCCTCTGCTCTACCAAAGCCTCTGAGACAATCCTTCTGATGCACTGATCCAAGATTCGTCCCAGATTTTGGCGAGAGTCGAGTAAACTTTTGATGTCACAGCTCCTCATTTTGCTTATCTGACAATTCGGATCAGATGCAAGTAGATCGGAATCCTGGCTCTTCCAAGACAAAAGGAAAAAATATTATTTGAATAGGTGACGACATTAGTCCGCTTATGGTGGAAACATTTTCGGCTGAATTTCCAGTTATTTATATACCGAAGATAGCACACAAGTACGTGTCTATTTCTGTTTAATCTGTTAGGGATGCCTAGACGAAATCTAATACATATCCATTCCCATTTTTAAAGATATTTTATTGATGTAATTATATATATATATATCTTTACATCCAATCCAGATTATGTTGATTCTAAATAAAATTATTTCGTTTTGCACTTTCAGGCGGATCAAAGTATCTCAATTGGGCAAATGCAATTTTTATGATCTACTTATATATAAGCAGTAGTGCCTACTTCAGGCCTACATGTACTTACCTTACAACATTTTAAAAACTATGCTTACTGTAAATGGCTGTCAGACGTAAATGTGTATAAAACCTAACATGTTAGAGCAATTAATTATATTTATTTACACAACATCGAGACGAACTGGAAGAAAATCCCTTTATTTCAGCAAAATATTGGCACTTCACATTAAAGGTTATCCCGTAACGTCTGGCAAGCGGCACTTTTATATGGTTTTATGGCTGTCCTCTGCTCTACCAAGGCCTCTGAGACAATCCTTCTGATGCACTGATCCAAGATTCGTCCCAGATTTTGGCGAGAGTCGAGTAAACTGTTGATGTCACAGCTCCTCATTTTGCTTATCTGACTATTCGGATCAGCTGCAAGTGCATCGGACTCCTGTCTCTTCCAATCTCCACACTCCGAAGTGATACCACCTTTGTCCACTCGATTGTTGCAATGCTCCCTGAAGCCAGTGTTGCCGACAGTCGGCTCGGCAATCGGTTGAAGCCTTCTGGTGCTCTTCACCTTTCTCCGCCGTCCTGCTCGACGTCGTTCGAGCAGCAGGTAGAGAAACTCTATCAATTCCACGCCAAAAGCCGCCGTCAATCCGATCGACAGAGAGCACAGGCCGCCCAATCGACTCAACAGCACCGGTAGACTCAGCACCAGCTTCTCGTACTTCTCAACTGTATTGTCCGACTTCCGCTTCAACACGACATACGCAAACTCATCTCCATCCAGTTTCAGCTGCTCAGACGGTTGTCCTATCACTTGGTCTATGCTGCCAGTTGGAGAGAGCTCGGTCAGTTCAGAAATGTTGGGAAGTTGGCTGAAACTTTCCCGCGAAAGATAGTGTTTATAGCGCAAGAACTCGGGGCTGTCAGAAATCCGGCAGTCTGAGCAGACGGCTTGAGCAGTCGCCAGCTCCTGCAGCAGCATGTTCTGCACGCGGAGCCAATAAATCTTCCACGATTGTGCTCTCCACTTTGTGATGGAGATTGTGCTCGCGTAGTCGTAGTAATCACACACAGGGCGACAAGCCTCTCGTATGTCACTGTTCTGCGACACATTCATCAGGTGATTTGCCAGACAACCCATCCGTCGCACCAACTCGTCGAGAGTGAAGTTGTGCATCACATTGGCGCAATACGGCAACCCGATGTGTGGAACTTTGGGTCGTGGCATCTCCATGAAGATGCAACCGCAATTGGCCATGATCTTCTCCTGCTTGCGCAGTTCGATGCACTCTGCCTGCGAGTAATTGTAGACGACGTGGAGATCTCGAAATTGGTGCGTCTCGTTGGGTCGCAGACAGGGACGCCGCGGTGTGTTCATCTTCTTCCAACGGATCGGCTCATAGTTGATCTCGTTCAACTTGCCCGGCTCCACGTGGAGGCCGTGCTTGCGCAGGTCCGGTCGACTGCCGGCCTCGTGGACGGCCACTCGCAGGCCTTTGGCCTGCTCGAAGATGTCGGGAAGAAAGGCCTGTTCGTGATCTTCTGCCGGGCTGGCAGACTCTTTCGGGCCCATGCGCACGATCAGGCTGAAGAAGGTGATCGACTCCGAGTCCCGTCGAGTGAGCGGCTCGAAAGTGTGGCAGTTGAGGTAGACGGGATGGGAGAATTGACGGATCCGATAGCCGGTCAAGAGGCGACAATCGTGCTCAAACTGGATGTCCGCGTAGTCCACCATTCGCATACAGTTCCAGAAAATGCTGGTGTTGTGGCCCAGTCTCACAGCATCCTCCGGCACCAAGTTCTGATAGTAGATGTTGAGCGTGTCGAACATGAGGCTGAAATGGTACAGACGGTAGTCAGCCGTGCTCAGCATTCCCAAAGTGGTCTGTCGCAGGTACCGGTTGAACTTGGTTGGCGAGAGGATTTGGTTGCGACGCCAAAGGTGGGCTGCTTCGTAGGAGAACGGGTGGTGATGGCACACGGTGAGTGCGGGAAATGGCGATCGGTCGTCGAGCAGAACTCGTGTGTGCACGGTGACGTCGTAATTGAGGTAGTCCAGTACCATCAACACGCTGGCGGTGATGAGAAGCCCGGTCATGCTGGTGACGTAGACGAGCCAAAGGGTGCGCAGGAAGCGAGGACCCGTGCGCAACTTGGACATGCCGCGCACGGAAGTGGACATGCAGAAGAGGTCGAAAGCCGACGAGGCCGTGTTGATGCGCTCGTCGACAACCGGTCGCTTGAGAGGTACACTTTTGCCGTCTCGCGTGCACTCATGCATGTCCGGCCGTCGAGTTGGGATGTCGGGAAACGCCGGAGATGGGCATTCTGTCCGAGTGACTGACGCACCAGATTGTCCTGTTGCCTGAGGCCTGATGGATGGGACAGGAGAGGCGATCGCCTCCGGTGGTTTGACTCTTTTGTGTTCAACCCCACTCATAGGCATTTCGGTTGCCTCCCTAACTTGTTGCTTTGTTTCTCCTCCCGACAATTCGGTAAACATGACGTCAGGAAGAAGAGGTGGAAGCTGTTTTGCTTGTGGTTAA